ATATAATGCGGAGGAGTTTAATAACTAATTTTAAAATAAACATATTTCAAAATATAATATCAATTTTTTGATATTGATATTATTAATTTATTGGTAAGAATCAATAAACAGAATTACAATATATATATAAAATTAATGCTTAGTATAATATTGATTAAAGATTGACCAGATCAAACAATGTCCATTGGCTTATTTTGATGATATGAAAAAGTATTCAAATCTTTGAGCTTAGTGCCACAGTCTACAGTACTGTTATTTGGAAATGCTATAAATAAATGAAAGAAGAAAAAATATATTAAAATAGTGTATAAAAGTAAGTAAACAAACTTGAAACTCCAGAAATAATCCTGTGGGTCCATTGCTGTTCCTCGCTTGGCAATGCTTAAGGAGAATTAGGGTCTAGAGACAGTTGATAGTGCTACAGGTGAGGCTGTCAGAGAGACTGTTTGGCAGTCACGCAACACCTTCTCAGCCTGTTTGGCTCTACTGCCCAGGGGAGGCAAAGCCTCTCAATTGGTACACACCACCTACTGCTAGTGGATACGTACATATGGATAGCGTGGCAGGTCCATCCTGAGCATGGAAGTTCTGCCGCTAGCTCAGCTAAAGCCACAGGATTTTTAATTTTCCCTACGGGGGCTACCAAAATGGGAATTATGCCTCTGCCTGCATAATAGGGGGAGACCCTTCACCCCACCAAAACCAATGGCTTGAAAGTGGCTCCTCTGCCACCCACACCATCCATTTCCCCACCATCTTCCCCCATCACCTCCCCACTTTGGAAAAATAGCATGTCATTTGGGTGAAAAATGTTTGGAATGGAATAAAGCTCACCCATTCACCTCCTGCTAGCAAGCTGGCTAATGGGGTGAGAGGAGAGGCAAAGAAGCAGGACGATAGGTGAGAGGATAGCAGCTCTTGAAAGAAAGGGGCTGAGGGAAAATGCATGTTTTACAGTATACTGCAGGTGCCCCCTGCTCGCTTCTTTCCTGGCTTCCCTCCTGCCATCTCCTCAGCGCTCACCCACTTGCACTATCCCTCTCCAGTCTAGCTTGACACAGGTGGCAGCTCACAATTTCCCTTTGCAAGCCTGCTGTTGGTGAAGCTGGGCGCCACTGAGGGCTGGCTTTTTGCCTAGGTTGTCCATCTGTCGGGTGGAAAATGGCCTCCTCCCCAGGCCCCTGTCCATTTTCCCCCAGACAGCCAATAGCCAGACAAACCAAGTCAAAAAGCCAGCCCTTTCTGCTTCTCTTGCCTCGCAGGTTTGGGTGGACGGTCAGGAGGCTGGAGCAGGGAAAAACCTGAGAACAACTGGCTTCCAGCTACTTTCCTTACCCTGCTCAGTGGAAAGAAGGTCCCCACTGAGTTTTAGCTGGGTTCAGCGGGGGCTACAATCTCTTTCCTGAAGAGACTTGGGGATTTAAGGTGGGCAGGAAGACATTTTGCACTGCTCTCCACTGCCCTCCTTGCAGCAAAATCCATGCTGGAATGATGGGGACAGAACTGCAGTTTTGCAGGTGCTGGAAAAGGAGAATCCTGAAGCTCCCTCTTGTCTCCACTTGCCTAGGGAGGGGTGAGGCATGCTATTCAGCCACTTTGCCGAACTGCACAAAAAGTTGGCTATTGGTTCCAGTGAACCGGTGAGAACCGGCTGAATCCCACTACTAATTAACAGCAAGGATGTTCTGCACTCTATCCACTGTGCCATCAAAGCTTATCATGTTGATTACTTGTTGCTGTACAGCATGTTTTTAATGTTTCAACATTGATTTTGTTGGAAGTGCCAATAAAACAAATATATCGAAGAGAATAGTAATAATAAATAAAAAATGTAGAAGTATTTATCACCCTATAAGCATTTCTTATCTTCTTGTTGTAGAAAATATTTTTTTAACCTTTCACTTGTTGTAAAACGATTATATCTCATGCCTGCAATCAGTTACATCCCTCTCCTATTAAGCACATGATTGTCCCATCTAAATCAATCTGAATCCATCTGTTTTCCGTCATGAATATGTTTCACCCCAACATCACCCCCCCCCCCCCCCCCCCCCCCCCCCCCCCCGCAAGGTACTTCTCTGGGAAAGTAATGTAAAAATGGCCAATTGTGGTCAATTAGATGGACAATAGGAGAAGAGATAAGAAAGGTAAATATTGCCTTACTAGAATCCATCTGTTGCAGGAAGATGTAAATCTTAGTTAGATTACATGACTAGAGATTTACAAGGTAATTAGAGAACTAAGAATGAAGACTTTTTTGTGTATAAGAAGGACAAGATATCATTCTGTATTTTGTAGAATTTTCCTCCCACGTCCCTTGTGATGTGCTAGGAACTTCTTCCCAGATTCTTTAACTTTGATCAAAGAATAAAAGTCTGCTTTATTTAATTTGCAAGCCTCCATTTAAATCTTTGTTTTGGCTCATTTTTGGCTTAAGCATACTGCCAGACCTTACAATATGTCTAATTTTATTGACCATTTACACTTTCATGAATAGTTGTAAGGGTCCCAAGTACAGTGCTTTTCCTGGGGCCCATAATGCTGTTAAGATGGCCCTGGGTCTGCTATAAGGTGGGAGAAAAAGAATGATGTTGGTCCTCCTTTGCTTTCCTCTGTTGGTTTTTTTAAATTGGCATATGGAAACACCTTTCTGCAAACTGTCTTCCAAAATTGCTGGATATATTTAAATTCCAATTTCTTCTGATCTTTCACATTTATGTTCTTAGTTAGGATTATCTTCCTTAATTTATTTGCTTTTAAACCCACCATTTCTTCAAGAATTTTGATCTCCCTGGTAACTTATTCAATATTTTCTTGTGGGTCTTGTACAATCACTACCAAACCAACAGCAAATGCATGTAGCTTGTATTTGCGTACTTAGATTTGTAGTCCTTTTGCTTTGTTATCCTGTCTAATTTCTCTATTTAACAGTTCTGACATTAGAGGAGGAGCAAGTGAAGGCCGAGACAGAAAAAATGTAAACATGGATGATATATTTTTCAGAATTATTATTATTACCTTTATTGTCAGAATACAACATGTGTACAATGAGATTGGCTGAGCCTCCCTTCGTGCAACCCCCCAACACAACTCACACTGAGGACAGAAGTCCCTTTACCCAGTCCCAATGAATGAAACCATAATGAAGATACTCACCTCGACACAATGATGAAATTTCAGACCATTTTGAAGTGTTCAGACATGTAATTGATGGGCTAATTCCAGGAATATATTCATAACCTGAGATGCAACGGTATGTCAGGACAGTTCCAACCATATAGCTTTCTTTTGGGATGTCTTCCTTTAGTGTTGAGTGGAGCGGTGGTACTGGAGAGGTACAGTTACCTAGAAATCAAAAATAAAGTTTTCAGGTAGGAGTAATTAAGAGAGATCTACAGTGAAAGCGAGGGTTGATTTATAAAGTGACAGATGATTTATAAACCCACAAACTATATGTATAAAGTATTGTATATAAATTTGCTTAAATATAGTCAGATTCAACAACCATCTTTGTTTTTCTATCTGTATTGTATTAGGGCAATTCCCATCAAAGCCTAATTTTAATTACATTAGTTCCTTCACCATACATTTATCTATATTATTATTTGATATGGTTCTTCCCCTGTGGTGGAATCTACTGCTAAAGTTGTGGGAGGAATTAAAAGATTAGCTAGCCTGGAATCATTGCAGGGGAAGAAACAGTGGAAGAGAGATCCTCCTTGCACTTTGGAGTGACTATCTAGTTGTTCTGTAATTAGTGTAGTTAGTCTAGCTAGATTTTTGTAAATAGGCAAGTAGCAATAAGAATACTGTTTTGATCAACTCCAGTATTGTTCTGGTTCCTTGTGCCTGACATTCCCCTTATTTATTTAACTCCCTCCTTTTTCTCTTTGCTCCCAAACTGAAGACTCAAAGAGAAAAAGGTCAATATAATTTCTGGTACTCCTTATCTTAATACAACATTCTTGACTGATCTTCTGCTTGTATTTGAGCCTGTTTCCACAAACAAATCATAGATATCTACTTTCATCCATCTGCATCTCAGTAAAAGTTCAAATAACTTTCTGTCTTCGTGACATAAAAACAATTAATTTGAAAGGAAAGCCCTATCCTGTATCAAATCTCTCGCTCTCTCTTTTTTTTTTGGTCAATAACTTGGATTTCTTTCTTTTCTTGCTGCATTGTAGTTACATTAATAGCCTGGAAAAATAGTGCCCCGTTTGATCTCTTTAATCTCTACATGTTGTTCTTATAATGTAATCTTTCATATTTGAGTTCAGAAATCTAATCAAAATGTCTCTAAGTTTTGTGTTTTCCAAAGAGAGTAAAATCAGTGAGCATGTTCAATATCTCTATCCATCAAATTCATATGAGACCTCAAGGTCATTAATTTTAGGGATGAGATAAATTGTCAAATTACTTATTTGGCTTTTCTCTGCCACTCCTTTAATCCATACATTATTTTTCTTGCTACAATCCAGTAAATCTGCCAATTCGATCTTTATTTCAGAAGTACACTTTTCAATTTTCTCTATCTCAAGAATGTTATTTGTATCCAAACTATAAGCATTGCAGGCTCTCTGAGCAATATCTGCTATTTGCGGTGATATTTCCTTAACTTGTTTATTTATTTGCTCTGACATATATACCAAGTCTTTAGATCAGGGGTGTCCAACCTTGGTAACGTTAAGCCTAACGTTACCAAGGTTGGACACCCCTGCTTTAGATAATCCCACAGCATGTTTGTCCCATTTTGTATTTAGTTCTTTTTTTAGCTTGTTTTATTAATTGTCCAATTACCAAATCAATGTCTATCCTTCCTCATAAGCAGTCATTCCCTCCATTGTCCCTTCTTTTACAGAGAGCTTCCTCAAGCTCCTTCAAGTTTTCCAAGGAGGCTTTAGTCCCTTTTCCTTTACACAGTTTCTTTTCTGAGCATACCGCTTTACTAATTTCATTATCTGATAAAACATTTAGTAAAGGAAACTGGCTATATTAAACTGGCTATATATTAACTGATTAGTTGGATTAGGGGAAGAGTATGCTGTCCTCACCAGCAGCAATAGATGTATTAATGCAATTAAAATTAGCAATTTATCAATTGTGGCCAAAAGCAATTGTTTTTTCAACATTTATATTCTTCAAATAATCCATCAGCAATAAAAATTAACCAATTTTTAAGAACATTTTCAGAACTGATTCTTAGTGTATGAGTGTATAAATTATATGCTAGTTAGTTAGTCAACTAAAAGTGATTATTAGTAAAATTATTAATATGAATCAATCAATCAATATGAATCAATTGGCTTTATTCCAAATCAAAATATTTCTACTCCTATCAAAAATTATTAAATATTATACAGCTTAGTCAAATAAATAAGGGTTCCCTAGCCATTTGATCTTTAGATATATTTAAAGCTTTTGATTCTTTGAAAATACAAATTTATAACAAATATGAAATGTAAATTTGGGACTGATTTTTATAAGATGTATGAAAATATTTATGGATAAACAAAACCTCAGATAAGACTATTATGATTCAGATTCCATCACAAATTCAAGAGATACCAAGCAGTGTTGCCCTTCATCCCCTATACTAGGGCTGTCAAACTTCCAGCCCACAGGTTGAATACATCATGTGCTAGCCACGCCCATGCCTGGTTAAGCAAAGGGGGGGGAGTCTCAATATGTCACATGACACTGCTGTGACGACATGAGTTTGACACTCCTGCCTTATACTATTCAACCCAGCCATAAAAGCATTGGCACTAGCATATAGATATAATAAGCAGGTTTGTAGGATAAAGTGGGAAAAAAGATGTGAAAAAAGGGCACCCTCTCTGAGTTCTATGGAACAGCTCATCTTCAAGAGTTGTGGTAGCTTCAACACTGGAGGTTTTCAAGAAGAGACTGGACTGCCATCTGTCAGAAATGATGTAGGGTCTCCTGCTTGGGTGGGAGGTTAGACTAAATGACCCACAAGGTTCCCCCCAACTCTGTTATTCTGTTGGGTGCACTTTCTTTTTCATATAACCATATCTTTTAAACACATTTGCAGGTTATTTGATTTTGTCTCTCCAATGCTTCTTTCTTAACTGTTATTTTAAGACAGAGTTAGAGGAATTTATAGAAGTGTAAGGACTATCAGGTAATTCCAGTAACACACATCTGTTGTTTTTTATACTCCTGAAAATTGAAAAAAAAATCTTCATAGTTTTAGGCATTCCAATATTATATAATTTTTTTTAAATAGTTAGGTAGTATTACTACAAATATAAATTAAATCTTTACAAATAACTAAAGCAACATGGAATAAAATTAAGTAAGGAAATGAAAAATTGGGTTTCAAACAATTTCAATATTTTAGGGTGAATTGCATCAGTAAAAATGAAATGTTTTGCATGATTAAACTTTTTAATTCAGTGCTGCCCATTGACAATTCCAGAACAGGCTTTAAGGCATTGGCAAGAAAATAAATAAATATAAAGTTTCTGTTTTCAAGCACAAAAACTTGAGAATAAATGGAAGGTTTTCATATAGACCTTAGAAATAAGGAGGCTGGTGATTTTTCGGTTGCAAGGCTTCGGCGGCGGCAGGAATCCGCTTCTCTGCGGGTCCCTGCTGTGCTCGCCGTCGAGGTACCCCCGATCCAACTGGATTTGGGGGTTGTCACTGCCCTGAAGGGGCAGCGGAAGACAGAGGAGATCCGGGCAGGGGTCTGGGGATATCACACCCCCGTTCCCCAGCCGGCTAGACTCCTTTTTCCTGAGACGGTGGAGCGGCTGTCAGTATGGCAGCCACAAAGAAATCTTCAACTGGATAAGATTGTGCAGGAGGAAGAGCCAGAAGTTTTCTTGGCTGAACCAGGACATTATGTTACTTTTTAAAACACCCTGGAAACCTGACTTTGGTTTGATACATTTGTTTCCAAAAGAATTTGTTACATCGGCGAAAGTGCTGAAGGAAAGCTCACTCCCCCTCCTTACGAAGAAAGCAAAGGAGCATAGAAAAACCTGCTTTTTAAAGGTAAAAATAAGCTCTTTGTTATAAGTGGGAAGGAGAGGACTAAAAAAAAAGTTTTTTAAAAACTTTGTTGGAGGAGACGCCTTGAAGATTACAAGACCATTAATTAATGGTAATACGGCTTTTAAAATACATTTGGGATTTTGCCTCTGGAGGAAAAACTGTAAAGAGAAGACGAGGAAATAATTTTTGTTTGTTTGGATTGTTTGATAACTCTGACATTTGGAAATTACTTTAAGATTGAAAGCATCTGGGTTGTTTTTAAAAACCTATAATGGTACCATCTGTTGATGAACTGAAAATGGAATATGAAAAATTAAAAGAAAGACAACAAAGTGGCAAGGATTCCTTGGGAGCTGCCTTCCATTTTTTAGAAATGGCGGTTTCTACGTACTAGCAAATACCGGAGGAAGGAGAAGGAGAAGAAGAAGAAGAAAAGGAAAAAGTCATCTTTAATGGACTAAAAAGTTTGACTAAGAAAGAAAATGGGAAGAGAGGAAGGAAAAATGAGAATTTAAGATTTAATAAAACAACCAAGAAAATGAAAAATAGGGTGAAAAGAGGGTACAATATTAGAAAGCAATTGAAAAGAGAATTACAACAGAGAGGGAAACTTAAAAGGGGGGAGAGGAGAGGAGGGGGCAAAAAGACCAGATTGGAGAAGAAAGGGAGGGAAAAAGAAAAAAAAAGCCACAGGCTAGAACAAGATTTTAAAAAGAAAGTTTTTTTTAGAGACGAAGGATGATGGTTAGTGTATAATTAAAGAAGATTCTGCAAGAGTGCATAAGATAGTATTGTAGTATTTGCATTTGAAATAGTTTATTGGAATATTTAATAAAATATTAATGTTTAATAATGATAGACGTTGATATTTAATAAAATATTAGGAGAATGTGCTAAATGATTAATGCTTAGTTAAAGTTTAATTTGTTACTGTTTTATTGTTATTATAACCTTAGTATTTTATTTTTTTATTCTAAAACAATGTACTTATCAGAATTAGAATTAGAATAGAAATTATACATTTAACTATACTATAAGTTTACTATTCTTTTATTTTAAGATTTAATATGTAGAATATACTAAGCAGAATCAGGATGGAAATTATGTATTATTTTAAGCTTTATTTTAGGAGAAGGTGTCATACTTCAAAAGTGATTACAGGGGAAATTTTTTGTTAAAGAGAAGAGATAAATAGATGTTTGGTAAAGAACAGTCAAAAGATAAAAGTATAATGACTTTGAAATAAGATGAAATAAATAAAATATAATTAAGAGAGTGAAAAGATGGGAGAAGTTATATAGAAAATACAAAATGGTTAA